ATAATAATAATAATAATAATAATAATAATAATATTGATAATAATATAAAATTGTTAAAAAAGAAAAATTTGTGTATTTGTTGCTTGCAAATATTTTTGTCGTTTTCTACACAAAGTATTTAAGCCATATTTTTATATGACAATAATAATAATAACAACAGCAATAATAAAAATAGAAATAAAAAATATAATATCCAAGTAAAAATAAAAATTTTAGTATTTGTAGCTTACTAATATTTTTGTTCCTACCTATACAAAATATTCGAATCATATTTATGTATACTATACATATGTTAAATTTATATTACTGTATTTATATATTATTATATTTATACTGCTGTATTTATATGTTATTATATTTATATTACATTTATATTATATTGTTTTTATATTTATATCATTAAAAAAACAACAAATAATGATTAAATATCTAATACAGTGACGTAGAATAATTATTTCGTATTATTTGAATTTCAGGTTATTCAATGTTACTGAATTTCAATTGTGTGTGTGTGTGTTTCTTATGAATATAACATTAATTCGCGTTACTGAAGTATCATTTTGCATCCAATCGTCCAAATTTGAATTTCTAACCCAATGAAAATTAGAGTCAAGCGTTGCACCAGGATTACAATATGGTGGCATATAATTATTTCGTACCAGTGAATCGACCGGCGAACAATTAAGAAATAAGTAGCAGCATTGTCGAGTTGTTCGAGGTATTCTTACAACGAGAGAGAGAGGGTGGGGGGAAAGGAGGTGCCGGACGGACTCGACATGCCCCGGGTGTTCTTTGATAAGCTGCAAGAGAAAGCACTTAAATATTCGTGCCAGCGGAAGCTTATTTAACGGAACCGGAAAGTGGCCGACTCTTTAAATAAATACATTCATTCCTTTAAACGGAAAAGAACGTTCCCTGTGAAATACTTCGATGGCGGATACTATTTCAAGAGTAAATGCCTTTAATTAATCATCATCTTGCTAGAGATTACAGAAATCTTCTTTACTGATATTTCTGATAACGTTATGGTATCAAGGATTTAATTAAACATTTTATTTTAAACGGTTTAGTTGAACATTTTTTTGTAAACGTGTTTTCGTTGAACATTTTATTTTAAACGTTTCAATCGACGATTCTATTCTAAACATTTTTATTGAAAGTTTTATGTTAAACGTTTCAATTGACAACTTTATTCTAAACAGTCTAGTTTAACATTTTCTTTTAAACATTTTAAATAAACATTCTAGTTGACAATTTAATTTTAAACATTTCAGTTGAACATTTTCTTTGGTATCTAATTTTAAACATTTTAGTTGTACATTTCAATTGATAATTATAAAACTATAATGTTTTATTTCAAACATTTTAGTTCAACATTTGATTTTAAACATTTCAGTTGAACATTTTCATTGATAATCTTTTTTCAAACATTCTAGACGAATGATTCATTTCAAACATTTAATTGTAAATTTTTTTTTGATTCATTTCAAACATTTAGTTGTGTGTGTGTGTGTGTGTGTGTGTGATTATTTTAGTTGAACATTTTAGTGAAACATTTTATTTTAAACGCTTAAATCG